TTGTAATCCTTTAATAAAAGAGATTTTTCGATTTTTAGGAAACATTTTAAGCGAATATAGATAAATAAAATAAATATTAATAAACAATAATATATAAAAGCTAATAAAAGAGGAAAAAATAATAAACCAAAACGAATTTTTTGTAAACGAATTGTTATTTTTCATAAAGTAAATAATGATAAATTCTAATTAAAATACAAGTAATTAATTTTTTTCGTCTATTATAGAAGTTCTTTTAGAAAGCGAAGGAATATAAAGAGAAGGGATAATAGATGGACTAATAAGTATATAATATATAGGATAAAAGAAAATAAGTGAATAAATATAGAATAAAATATATAATTTGGCTATAGATTATTACAAAGATGAATAAGTCTTTTATGAATGTTTAGGCTGTATTTAAATTTTGATTTAAAAAATAAATATTATACCTTTACTTCCATATTTTAATTAATATTTATAAGAAAAAGAAAATCAAAAAAATGTCATAAAAATAATAATCATTGAAATTTTAATAATGTTTATTTAAGAAGCTTCATTTGATTAATGTAGTTTATTTTTTCACGAAAATTTCGATATTCTTAAAAATATTATTTATATTTCTACCTATTGTACTGATAAGTATTTGAATTTTATTTCTAAATAATTCATTTGTGTATCTATTAGCAATTCTAACCATATTTATCATTTAAAATTTATTCAATGTAATGTATTGTAGCCTCTTATGGATATATTAGAAGAGTAAGAAAATTAACTTATTGGAATTACGTTATAAGCTATCTGTTGTATTCTTATTTAGGAAGGATAAGATGATAATAATTAAGTTTTTGCCTCTTAGTTAAAAAATATTTACAATTTCGAGGCTATTTTAGAAAACTTAGAGGAGTTTTAATATAATGGAAATGATATTTTATTTCATATAAATTTAATTAGACAATATATTTAAGATTTTGAATGAAAATTATTATAAATATATTTATTAAATATATATATATATATATATATATATTTATTTTGTTTGTCATTTTTATTCTATTATGGAACTTTTAATTTAAATCATTTAATTATATACATTATGAGATTTTAGTATATTTCTTATTTTTTATTAAATATTATTTATGAATTTATATTTTTATTAGTCTTAGATTTTTAGAATATCTATAAAATTTTGTTCCATATTATATTATCTTAACTATTTTCTTATATTTATAAATATTTTTTATATAAAATCTTCATATTATTACTATTAAATGTACTCTTATTTACTATAAATTAATAAAATATTTACTAAAATTAAGCTTATTATTAAAATTTATTTCATATTTTTATTTTCTTTCTTTTTTAAATTTTTTATTTATTACTTTAAATTAATTTTTTTTCTTATTTTTAAATAAAAAATAATAAGCGTTTTTTCATATAATATAAATTGTCTATTGTAAAATGAATTGTTATATATAGAAAAAAAAAAAAAAAAAAAAAAAAATAGAAAAAATTTTAAATATTTTTTTTTTTTTTTTTTTTTTTTTTTTCTCCCCTCCCCATTTTTTATTAAAAAAAATAAATAAATACGAAAAACTTAATAATTAATTATATATATATATATATATATATATCAAAATAAATAAAAAATCTCACTAATTAATTCTACCACCAATATTACTATTTTCTTCATCCATTAAACCATATTATTAAACCCCACCATTTTATTGATTTTATACTTAAGGACTTTTAGCTGCTACTAAATTTTAATATCTCAATTTTAAATGTGAGATTTTATCATTATTTCCTCCCAATTATTACTATTATTACTACTATTATTATTACTATTATTACATAGCATTACTTTTTTAAACTAATCCTGCTTATATCCACATAAAAAGTGCTTAATTTTACACATTAAGGCTAACATATGAGTCCATTAATTTATTTTCATCAACTTTAACCAGTTCTAAGACTATAGTTTTGATAGTTTTGACACCTGAATCATCTTATTTTTAATTATTATCATTGTAAAACTCTAATAGATACTCATTAAATTTCATTAAAATCCCTTTAATGTCCATATCTTCAATATTCTATTCTAAAACCTTAGTTATTTTAAGAATGCATTTAATAATAAGTCCTATAGCTTTAGAATAATCGGTTTTTTTTCTATTTTAAATCAGCAAATCAAATAGTATACAAAACATACTATCTAATCTCACATTTTCAAGTATTCTAAGCATTAAAGTATTCAAAGATTTAACACTTTATTAACAATTGAGGTCATTTTTATTTTCGTCGGAAAAAAGGAGTTCATTTAATACATTTTCGGTTATCATTTTGCTAATTTGGGGCTATATTTGTGAAATTAAATCCTTATTTTATACTATCTGTATTAGAAAGTCTATATATTTCTTCACGAAATCAAAATTTAAGTCTTTTTATCGCATACATATAGGTAAATATGAAAATATTTCAGTTATTATAGCTACTGATTCAGTTTAAAATTAAGCATTTATATCTATTGGAGTCTTTAATTGACTACTTAAGTTTTATAAAGTTTATAATTTTTATGATATTTAAATTGTAGAGTCTGCAAAAGAATGAATCTTTTGAATTATTAAATGAGTTTTAGTATCTTTATTTAATGATAATTATATTAAATTTAAAGGCTATTAAAATTAAGATGGCATTATTTAACTTTTCCAGAATAGAAAAAGACTGTTTTCATCTTAAATTATTTATTTTAGTTTTTCGTTAGTATTTATTATATACGGAGCTATTTCAGAAGGATTTTCAGCCCAAAAAAATGATAAGTAAACGATTTTTTAGGCCATTTGTTATTCATTTATATCTAATATATAGTTCTCTTATTATAGGCAATAAAATATCTAAATAAAAAAATATAAATATATAAAATATAGTATTATTAAAATATATAATATTATAAAGTATATATTTATATATATGTATTTATATATATATATGTATTTGTTTTTACTTAAAATAACATTTCGATTAAAGAAATAAATAGAGATTAGTTTTTTTAACAATTCCATATTCTAAAAAATGTCCATTTTAATAGTAAATCACATATTTAGCCGGCATTTGATATTTTCTCTTTAATATAAACTGATGCTTCAATAACTTTTTATTAATCAAAAGAAAACATTTTTATTCTTAATATTTCTGGAAATCCTATTTCTTCCATTTAAATTTTTAATTATTCAATAAGTAAATCTTCTAGTCTATCTAATGGCCATATATTATTATTATTATTTTTATTTAAATATTAATTAACTTATTATTATTATTATTGTTATTATTATTATTATTATTATTATTAAGGCTAGTTTTTTTAATATTTTTCAAGAATTTATACTAGTTATTGGCCTATAACTGGCTTGAAGTCTTTTATTTGATCAAAATATGATTATATAGATATACTTTCTAATGAAAATTAAAGAAGCGCTTCAGATTATGAACGTACATCTTTATTTTTATCAACTAAACAATTCAATATAGGTAGAATAAATTATTTTAAATCTGTATTTTTAGCAAAAAAGATATTATTTTAGACTATATATTACATTAATGCAATTTTGATTTCTATATTTTCGTTATTTGGAGATAAAAAAGAAGGAAATTCTTTAAAAACCAAATCCATTCCAACTTATTAAGCCCATTTATCTATTAAATTAACAGTTTCTTATTTTTAAATAGGATTTTTATCTGCTAAAATTTAAATTAATGCTGGAATAATAGTTTTTGTGTAATTCTTAGCTTCTTTTTATAAAGTTTCAGCAATTTTTGATATTAATTAAAATAATTATTTCTAAAATGTTTTACTATTTTCCTATAAGCATTTTTTCAAAGCTCTAAAAAAAAAAAAATTAAATAATATATAATATATTTATATATATATTTAAAAATACCTATATATTATAATATTGATTTATTATATATTTATTTAATAATTTATTATTACAAATATATATTTAAATTTATATCTTTATATTTATATAAATAATTACTAAATAACATCCGGAATATATTTATTAAAAAACTATTAATTACTCATATTAGTAAAAAGCATATTTTCTATTTTCTCTAGCGCCTCTTTTTTTTTATTTTATTACTTATCAAAGAGTACTTTTAGTTCTTTCTCGAATTCTTATTCTAAATTTCCTCCTTTTCCACCTTAACCTTTTTTTTAGTATCCATTATCTGCCTAAATTTAAACATTATTATCAAATTTTCTTTCACATTTTAATGCTATTTTATCTACCAAAGCTTTCTTTTAATCATTTAAAGCTATATTTTATATCATTTACTCCCCATAAAACCCTTTTAATTTTCCAAAAAGTTCCACTCCTAAATCCCTAATTTCCTTTGCCGAATCTTCCATTAATTTCTTACCACAAAACCCTATCATTTTTTTGAAAAACTCTTTATTCTTCTCATCTTCCGTTTCCCCAATAATAATCTTTAAAACATTCATTTTTCCATTTAAATTTTTATCATTTAACATTTCCTTTAAATCTTCCCAAATATCATCTAAACTAACTACAAAAAGGAAATTTTTCAACGCCAAAAACCCTTCATTACCCACCTAAGGCTTCGAATCCTTCAACTTCATTAAAATAAACGGAAGGAGTATCTTCGCTCCATTCCAAAACCCCTTTCTAATCCCCTAACATAGATTTCCGGTACACTTAATAGCCGAAATCTGTACCTAAACATTCGCTTCTTCATTTAAAATTCTCTTTAACATCTAAACTACATGCATACAATTCTACTACTATATTTTAGGCACTTAACTTGCTTTTAAAAGATTGTCCAAAAGCTCTTTTTTTTCACTCCATTTTTGGCATTAGAGTACTTTTTCGCACCAATGTTCATTAAACTTATTAAAAATCTCCACTGTTTAGGCTAATTCATAGGCGTCGATTTTTTTATAGAGCCCATTTCCTGAATTAGCTGTGTTTTTTTCATCTTCCTAAGCCGATAAACGCAGAGGAATTACTTTTTGATCATTTTAATATTCCTATATATATTTTTCGACTTCTTCCTATTGATTTTTTTTTAGTTTTCCAGTAAAAATCTTCACCGAATCTCCAATCCAGCGATAGACCTCCTTATAAAAATTCAAAAGTGATCCTTTTTAAACTTCATTGCTTAAATTTTCTTAGATTTTACAAATTTCATTAAAAAAAGGCTTTAAATCATCCATTTTTTTCATTCCGAAATTCCTCAAAAATTAGGTGGCTAAATCAAACGCTGCGCAGGCTATTTTTGTGTTTTTATGTGAAAAAAAATACTTAGTATTATCCAATAGTTCATTTTTCGCGCCGTTCTCCATTAATATAAACAATATTTCGTAACAATATTTCATAATTTTACCCCTATTAGTTTAAACTAAGCCTTTTTAAATAATTCCTTTTATAATTTCAACTATATCACTAATTTTATCACTATTATTCGACTATAAATATGTCTAAATTGCTTCCAAACCTTTTTCTTGGCATGCCGGATTCGCATCATTTATAAATTTAATGAAAATTTAAGTGTATTTGTGAATTTCTTCATCGTTTTATTTTATGAGTTCGATATATTCTTCAATTGCTTCCTTTCGGGTTTTAAATGCATTACTTTTTAAACGATTTTCTAAAGAAGGTTTTTCTTATGGATAGTCTATTTACATTTATTCTCCCTATCCTGGAGGATATGCATTATCGAAATCTATTTATTATAATGGTCTAATTGGTTAGTCATCCATTTTTTCTTTTTATTGTTTTTTTGTTTTGTTTTTTTTTTTGGATATATTTATTTTCTTTTATTTTTGCTAAAAAAAAAATTGTTTTTTTGTTTTATTTTTTTTTTTTTTTTTGATTTGTTTTTTGTTTTGTATTTTTTTATTTAAAATTTGAAAAATTATTCTCTTTTTTATTTTTTTTTTAAATTTTTATTGTTTATTTTTTAATTTCATTAATAATAAATTTCTTTCATTTAATTTTTACTTTATATTTATTTATTATTCTTATATATATATTTAAAGTATTTTTATTTAATAAATATAAGTATTTCTATTCATTAAATATATATATTTGAAAGTATTTTTATTCAAATAAAAAATTATTAAAATATTCTTATTATAATTTAATTTTATAATTTTTTTTTTAAAAAAAATACATTAATTATTTAATTATTAATAAAATAAATATTTATAATAAATATCTTTAATAATTTAAAATATATTAAAAAAAATACATTTATACTTAAATACAAATTTTATAAATTACAATGACTATTAATATATTAAAAATAAACTATTTTTTAAATATAATAAATATATATGTATATATATATATATATATATATATGAAAAAAATAAAATAAAATATATCATAAAGTAAGATTATTTTCCACTTCTCTTCTTGATACAAATTTATCTAATTTATGAAATGTTCCTTATTTAATATATCCAATTACCCATATAGTATGTTCTTTTGAAATATTTTTTATTCCATTTTCTTAAAAAGAGATTGCTTAAACTAATTCACTATTACTTTTCCCACAAATGAATATCTTATGTTCTAGATTATTGATTTCTTTTTCAAGCCCGTCACATTCAATAATAAGGAAATAAACAGATTCATCCAAACATTAATTTTAATAAATCGAAAATTCAAATGATCCATATTAAAAATCATTTAAAACAACATTTTTCCATTCGTTCTTATAAACATCAACATCCTAAACAAACTAAACATATTTACTCTCTTCTAAAACTTCACCAACCTTAATATAAGGATACCACATTAGATTTTCATTAAATTTCAAATAAATTTTCCACATTTCTGTTTCTTCAAATAAGACCCCTAATTCATTCAAAATAATGTAACTTTCCTATTTTAAAGAACTAACAATTATATTTCTTTTATAAGAAATTCTCTCATTCTCAATATAAGCGTATATATATTCATATACGTTATTTAATTCTACTTCAAAGTTTATTTTATATCCTTTATAGACTTTCTCATTTATTACATTCATTTCTATTATCTATGTATTTTCCTTTAATATTCGTACACTATAATTTGTAAAAGGGACCGAAATTTCTAAACTAACATTCACTTTTACTTTATCTTTATTTTCATATTATATAATATATTTATATTTTTCTTATTTCTAAATTTAAAATCTCTCTTTTAATTTTTCAACCTCATTTATATTATGATGACATTTAGACCCAAAATAAGCGTTTTTTAAAACATTTTTTTCGAGTAAATCCTCTTTATTATCCTATTCGTTTTCTTCCCATAAATTAATATAGAAAACTTCATTATTGCTTTATAAAACAAAGCATTTATTATTTGTAAAGGTAATCCATTTACAAATAAATTAACTAATACCAAGAATTTATTATTTTCCTACAATAACCCAAATTTTTAGGCTTTTTAAAAATTCTTAAATTTAATCATATATTTCCTTTATAAACATAAGTTATTTATTTATAATTATATTTAAATTAGAAAACCCTTTTTTTTCTATATCTAAGTAATTTTTTAACATTTCTGTATTTTATTTTAATAAAATCTCATATTTCTCGCATTCTATTAACAATTCATAATTTGGAGGATTTTCAGGAGTGAATAAGTATAAATATAATTTATTTAAAAAAGACTTATGTATTTAAAAAGGTACATGTAAGTTTTACTTCCCAATAATATTATTATATAAGACAAACAAATTTCTCATATGATCTAAATCATTATATATTTATATAAAGTCAGGATAATTAAAATCTCCTATTTAACTATTTAAGATATTCATTTAATCATAGCAAACCTAAACTACTTTTTTAAAATATTCATTTTAATCACTTTATATATTATTTTCGAGATAATCAATAAGCGCTTTTTCCATTTTTTCCTTTATTTATATTATTATTTCATATTTAAATTAGACTTTTAAATCAAAATATAATATATTTCTTGTTAATATTTAAAGTTTTTCCTTTTAATGTTCCTTTGTATATTATTAGAGTTCTGTTTTTTCTATTCTCACTTGATTTTTAAGAAAAAATTCTTATTTTTATTATATATCTTTTGTTCCAACTTATTTTATTATTTACTCCTATTATATACATATAAATAATAATTTTATTTATATAAAAAATACTAAAATTGTGGAAATATTGATTTTCAAAAGTTAATGAATAATCGTATTTTTAAAAACTAATTTCGGAAACAAATTATAAAGTTTATTATTTGTTCTTAATTACTAAAAATCCTACTACACATTCTACAAAATATTATAAAATTCCTTAGCTCTTTTAAAATGTATATCTTACCCTTGTAAATCTATCAAAGAAGGTGGATTTTGGGACAAAAAAGAGCTTTTATAGAGGCTTTATTCAATAGAAATTGCCATATTTTCTATATTTTACAAATAAAGTAATTCTCTTTAAATAACTTCCTTATCATCTTAAAAAAGATCTCTTTTCATATCCAATTATCTACGAATATCTACCAAAGATTTCCAGGCATTAATATATTCTTTTTATATAACCAATCCTATTTCTCTTAATTCTTTAAAAAGTTCTCTATTAATACAATCAATTTCCAATTTCTACTCACTAAAAAACTCCTAGTATTTATATTTAAGCTCATTCATTTTTTCTTCAAAAAACTTCACTAAAAAGTTCCATTTATTCTAAAACTCTTCCTATTTCTTCACATATTTCTCAAAATTCTTCTCTAATTAAGGTAGTTTTTTTAATATACTCTTCAAAAACTCTTCATTATTATCAAACTAACTCTTCATTAACTCACAAGCATCACTAACTTTCATATTTAAACAAAAAATCGACGAAAACTAATGTTCAATAGTCTCCAACATTAAATAAGGTGCATCTTTCATTTACCCAATTAATTTTTTATTAATATCTTCCATTTCTTCCAGATAACTGGAGGCTTATTATTTTATTTTAACCGAAAAAATACTTTCATATTCTATTTTTTTCAGTCCATTCATAATTGTATCTCCTTTAGGTAAATGAACCGAAAAAACATTAATTGCATCCTTTTAATCATATTTTTCAGTGTCCATGAATTCTATACATTTAAACTTCCCTACTTGCCTTCTATATTCATGATATTAATTGAAAATTTCTTTTGCAAACTGAGTTTATTTAGCAAATTCTTCCAAATAATTTTCAGAAAAAATACACAAGAAAGTAGCAAAAATAGCCTTCGAATCCTTATCAGTAATTTTCTATTTATATTTGTCTTTTATTTATTTTATTTCTCTCTATACTGTATTGTTTAATTGTATTTTCTCACTTTATAATAGTTCATCAACATAATTATGACATTCTATTATAAAATCAAAACATTATTAACAGGCCAATAAGCGTTTTTCTTATTTTATTAATGTTTCATTTTATTATAATAGAATATAATCCTATCTCTATTAACATGAGTAAAATATCGATTAAATTAGACATCTCATATATTTTTAAGTATATATTAACATATCTTCTAGAAAATATATTTTGTTTTATTATTAATAAAACTTAGCGGAATTATATAAGTTATGCTAAATATATTATACTTGATTTTCCATTATTTCTACCCATTATTTGAAATACTAAATTAATATGTTAGTTGATATTATACTACTCTTTTTTTTTATTTTATTTTTGAGATTTTTCATTTTTTTATTACTTTTTGACGGTTTTAAAATATTTAATGATCTATTAATAATGGACTACCTTTATCATGGAATTTATATTTTTATAGTTTAGAGGAATTTTCTTCTGTGTATGTAGTATTGTACATTAAAGGTAAAACACTTTCAACTATTTTCGGATGTTACATACATTATTTTTGTTTGTTTTGAGTAGTTTCTTGACTTTGTTTTTTTTTTTATTAATATATATATATAATTAAGAATATTTTTTACGATAATGATTTTTATTATTCATTCATTTTTTTAAGTTATATAAATATTTTTTTTTTTTTTTTTTTTTTTTAAAAAATTATATTATTTATTTGTTATTTTTTTTTATTATTAATTGGGAAAAAAAAAATATATATATGTAAAAAAAATATTGTAATTAGAATTTAAAATTATAAACTTTCTTTTAATATCAATTATACAATAAATAAATAAAATTATAAGTATAATAATTTTTTTTTTGCTTTAAATTCAACAGAAAAAATTAAAAATTTATAATTTTTGAAAAAGCTAATTTAAAATAGATATAAAAAAAATTAAAATACAAATATATATATATTTATAATATATATATATATATATATATATATATTTTTATATATATATATAAATATTAAATTAACTCAATAATTATAAAAAATATTTTATTTATAATTTATAATAATCACTTAAATAATCCTGCAATATTTTTGCAAAGTTTTTAAAAAAAAAGATTCCTAATTTAATCCGGAAGTGCTTTTAATTATGTAAAAATGTTTCCTCCAGAATATTCTTTATAATAATTTTTTATTTTAATCTCAATATCTTAATAAAATTTCTATTTAGAAATATGAGACTACGACATTTCAATAATTTTGTTAAATAAATAACAAATTTCTAACGAAAAATCCTAACTTATAGGTTTCAAAAGTTCTTTAATAATAACGAAAAAATCCCTATAATGCTTTTTAGATTACTCATTAAATATTTCCTATATATCATGCCCATTTTATACAAAATCATCATAATTTAATTAAGGCGGCCAAATATTTATAAATGCAAAATAAGAAATCCATAAAAATTATAAATGATTTTAATCACCTTCCTTTAACATTTATTCATTTAAATCAGTTATATTTTCTTTTTCACTTCGTATAAAAAACCATAAACTTTCATTATTTGATGCTAACTCTTTTATTTCTCTAAATAAATCTAAAAATTGTGTCTAGCAAAATAAATTTAATGTATCTTCTGATATTTCTACTATTGGAACATCCTTTGCTACTTCCCTATTTCGGTTTATTTTTGGTTTTAATGTTGGACAAATAGATTTTATGCCTGAACTTCTCTCATGTTTTACCTTCATATGGGTATATAAAGATGGATATCGGGCATATTTCTTACCACAAGTTTCGCATTAGAATTCCTTGTCTTATTAATCTATATTTCCCCGGGTTTAGAGTGTTCCTCTTTTTCTTTTATCGGTCATTTATTTAATTAATTTTAATTTCTTTTTCTTTTTTTTTTAAAAAAATAATTAATTTTTTTTTCTCCTATATATAATATATATATATATATTTACATAAATTACTTTATTTTAATAATTAATATAAACAAAAAAATGAATACTCCAAAAAATATAAAAATACATTATTAATTTAAAGGAAATTTCATCAAGTAAAAGTTTGAAATGAGAAATACAATTTTTTCGAAAATGTTCTTTTTATAAAACATTCAAGAAGATTTTTTTCCAAAAAAATTTTTTTCCAAAAACAATTAAAGTAATGTTTCTTAAATAAGCTAAATACAAAAATAAAACAACAGAATTAGGTAATATAAATCTGTCGATTTAAAACCAATCAAAAGTTCGGAAAAAGATAATAATATTTAAATACTAAAAGATTAATTAAGTTAAGTCTTTTTAAAAGATTTTAAATAAAAAGTTCGTTTGTAAAACAAAAATAACGAATTTCTTCTTAATAATCTCCAAAATCAATATATTCCTGAATAAAAAGTATCTTTTTTTTAATAAAATAAAGCAATAAATAACAAATTCAATCATTTTTATAAATCATCATCTCCTTTATAAAATAAAAATTAAATCTTTTATAAACAAGTTGTATTGACTAAAAATTATTTTTCAAAAAAGCCATCAGTAGAATAATCTCTAGATTTTTTGAAGAATAAAAAAATAATAAATAAAAATAATAAAAAATATTCTTTAGCGTAAAAATAAAATAAAAATAAAAAATAATATAAAACAAAATAGAATACTAAATTAAAATAATTAAATTGACGAAAATTTCATAAAACAATATTTCAAAAAAAAAGACGAACAAAAAAAATATGAACTCATTCCTTTTAAAAATACTATCAAATAATAAAATATATCTAAAAATCTTTAAATAATCATTGAAAATAATAATAATAATAACAATAATAATAAAAATCTAGAAAATATAAACACTAATACTGCTTTAAGTAAAGTAGGAACCGAGAATAATCAAAATTTACATTTTTTGATTAATATTCTCAGGAAGAAAAATTAAAAACGATTACAGATAATCTAAGCAAAAGATAAAAAAGCTATTTCTCTGATCATTTAAATAAGGATAAACTACAAAAAACTTTTGAAAATAAATTAACTTAAGATGCATAAGATAATAATTAAATAAAACAATAAAATTTATAAGATAAAGGCAAATAAATATAAAACAGTAATTTATACTTTTAGTTATTTATTATAATTAAATAACAAACAAACAAAAGTTGAAAATAGCGGATTATTAGATTAATAAACAAAATTACAACTTTAATAAGAAGAATCAGTTTTTTTAAAAGAAATAGAAGAAGAGAAAAAAAGGGCAAAAAAAGATAAAGTTTAATATTTAAGAAAGCAATTAATTGATGCAATCCATTATTTGAAAAGATTAAAATTAAAGCCTATAGATGTAATTATAAATATATAATTATATATATATATACTTACATACATATATACATATATATATATATATATATATATATATATATTTATATGTATATATATTTATATATATTCGTATATTTATATATTTTATTTTCTACTTAAATAAAAAAATAGATTATGGAAAATAAAGTATTTAGTACAGAACCTTATTCTCACCCAAAATCAATTGAATTTTTTACTGCTGTAAAGTTAAATCATCTATAAAAAGTTAAAGAATTTTTAAATGATAACAAGTATTTAGTTTATTCTTATGATTATGTATTTTTGTTATTTTTTTTTTTAATAATAAAATCAATATTTATATTTATTAATCACAAAAAGGTCTATTTGACTGCTTTACATTGGGCTGCTAAAAGAGGAAATTCTTAAATATCAGAAGTTCTAATAAAATATGGAGCTGATGTCAATTCTCGTGATATTGTAATATAATTTTATTGATTTTTTTTTTTATATAATTTTTTTATAAATAAAGATAGGAAGAACTCCCTTATTATTAGCTATAAATAAAGGTCATGATGAAATTGTATAAGTAACTTTTTATTTTCAACTATATTTCGATTTATTATTATTTTTCAATAGATTTTATTAGAAAATAAGGCATCTCCTTGGTCAGATGAGACTATTGATTATAAAATTGCAGCAAAATAATTTCCTAAAATAGCTAGAAATTTAGATAGATTTAGAAAAATACATATTATTGTTACTTTAACTCCTTTTACTTAAAAAGAAAATATGTGGGATAGATAAATTTAACTATTGAGATTTTCTTGAAATTGATTAGTTTAGATTTTTTATTTTTAATTAAAACTAAAAAACTATGTTTTTTTTTATTTTTATTGTTTTAAAATCTATTTATTGATATTTTTTTTATGTTTTTAATTACTAAATAAATAATCTACTAAAAAAAATAAAATTTTATAAAAAAAAAAAAAAGTATATAAAAAAAATAAAAACTATTAATTAAATTTTATCCATAAAATAAATTAATATTTTTTTTTTTTTAAACAAAAAAAAAAAAGTTAAAATTAGAACAAAAAAAAAATATATAATTGTATGCTCTACAATAATTAATAATAAAAAGAATATATGTCGAATTCAATAAGGATAAGAAATATAAATAATAATTAAGCATCAGGGTTCGAATCGTATAATTCTTAAATTAATTCTAATTATCCTGCAAATCTTTAATATAATCAATACAGTTTATAATGCAATAACTATTAAAATACTACTTCTACTACTACTAATACTAATTATTTAGGCAATTAGTATAATAATAATAATTTAAATTAAATAAAAAATTATTAACCATTATAATTATCATAAAAATATTCAAACGAAAGTACTTCTTTGTTAAAAAATTCAAGTAAAGATAATAATACTAATAATATATTTCAAAAAAAAAAAAAAAAAAGAGCATAATAGTATTCACCACTATGTGTAAAAAAAACAGTATAAAATAATTCAAAAGAATATAATATTAAAAATTCAGTAAATAAAAATAATTAAAAAGTGAATATTTTAAAAGTAGGCTTAAATAATATTGGAAATACATGCTATATGTGCATTAATATTTATTTTATATTTTTTCTTAAATAAATAAAAAAAAGGAATTCAGCTTTGTAATGTCTATTTAATTGTCGATAATTAGTTAATTATTTCAACTAAAATAAACATATATTAGAAACTAATTCTAAAAATCAAGGCGTTTCAGATGAATTTGCAAAACTTATTTAAAAGATGTCTCAAAATAATAAAACTTAACCTGAAAAACCTTATGAATTGAAACAAAAAATAGGTATTTTTAAAAATAATATTCTATTATTATAATTACTATTACTATTATTAGTATTATTATTATTATTATTATTATTATTATTATTATTATTATTATTATTATTATTTATACATTTAAAAACATAGAAAAAATATCCTCATAATTCAAAGGAAGTGGATAATAAGATTCTCAAGAATTTCTAAGAACCTTACTAGAAGCTTTAAATGATGATTTAAATAGAGTTCAAGGTAAAAAGCCATACAAAGAGCTATAAGCAGATATATAAAAATAAACCCTACAATAAATAGTATAATATAATAAAAATTAAAATTATAAAATAAAAAAATAAGAGTGATTCATGGTTTTAATATTATAAAGATCGAGATAATAGTATAATAACAGATTTATTTACAGGTTAATTACTTAGTATAGTAACTTGTTAGAAATGTAATAACCCATCAATAACATTTGATAATTTTATGGATTTATCTTTAAGTTTTACAAACAGTTTCCGTTATGGATTAGATTATAGACTAGAACGATTAATCGAATAATTTTTAAAGGAAGAATTCTTGATTATACTTATAATTGTACTAATTGTAAAGACTAAAAAAATCCAAAAGATAATTCCATATCTGGAGACTACCTAATATTCTAGTAATTCATATTAAAAGATTCCATTTCGGGACTACTAGAAGAGAAAAGCTTACCCATAATATCACTTTTCCTATTTAAGGTTTAGATATGGGATAATTTATTAACTAATCAAGTAATTTGTATTAATGATTATTTTTTATTTTATATAGAGGACAAAAGTATACAAAATTGTATTTATGATCTTATTGGAATAACAAATCATATGGGAAGCTTATATGGAGGACATTATTTTGCAGAATGTAAGAATCCTATTGATGGTACTTGGAATGAATTTAATGATTCTATTTGTAAAGAAATAGATATTAAAAATAAAGGATATACTACTATCGGTTCTGCTGAACCTTATTTACTTTTTTATTAAAAAAGAGATTGTATGTATGACGAATAAACTTATTTTTAATAATAATGAGGAAAAAAATATAAAAAGCTAATTAAATATTTTATATATACATTTATATATTTAATTAAAATAGACTAAAAATAAAAAAAAATTATTTAAATTATCATATAAATAATATTATATAATTGTAATCATAAATTAAATAAATATAAAAAAATATATTAATATTTTTATATTAATTATTTTATTTAATTAATAATAAATAAAATAAATTAAAATGACCTTTCTTTTCAACAAAATATATAAAAAAACTTCTAATAAACAAACAGAATTGGAAAAAGTTTTATAAAAAACGACAATATTAAACAAAAACTATTAAAAATTAGAACAAAATAATATAATTTAATTGTTAATACACTTATAAGATAAAAACTAATAAAAAAAAGACGAAAAAACAATTAATTTTTTCGATTATATAATATAACAAGAAGAAATAAATTACAAAACTTAATTAAAATTTCTATATATAATTCATAAATTTACAAAGTTTATAGGATCATATTTTTCTGATTTTTTTTTAAAATATAATCCTATTTAATTACGCATAGATATAAAATAAGAAGTAAATAAATAAAAACCACAAAATAAAATGAAATACTAATATTTAATTAAAGAGTATATAATAAAGGATTATTATGATTATTTAATGCGACTTTCCCTTAATATAGAAATATATTTATAATGTATAGCCTCTTCTATTCAAACGAATCACAGTGAATATGGAATTAACTAAAATTCTATAATAAATTAAGAACAAGAAATATAAGAAAATATTTAAAATTAATTAATTATAGGATTTAAAGTGAATAATTTACTAAATTTTCTTATCTAAAATTTAAAATAAACGCTTATTATTTGCGAATAATATATGGGTTTATATATTATAGAAAGTATTAGTTAATTAATTTATTAGGATTGTGTTATTTATTATAATTATTTGGACAATACTATCTTTTAAATAAGTGAAAAATATGACTCTTTATAAGAAGAAGAATAAATTTAATTTTATGAACTTTTATTCGAATGTATTCGTATATATTAAGTACTTTAAGAGAAATAAAAGTATTTCTAAGATTTAAAAAAACCAAAAAGAAATAATATTTCTCTTGAAAAAATAAAACAAATCGATAGAAATTAAATGAGAATTTAATTAAAAAATAAGTAGTATTAAAGATAAAGAAAGAATGAAAGATTGTTTGAGAAAGAAAAATTATTTGTTAATAATATAACAAAGTTCAAGTTTACATCTCTTACAGAAAGATAAATAAATAAATTATAAATTAAAAAATAAAACACTGTTAATTTAATGTAGAAGGAACATATTAAAGAAGATATAAACGAAGATGAAAACGAAACTTAAGATTTAAAAGAATAGAATTTCAAATCAAGTTTTCATAGTAATGATTAATAAAACTTAAATAAAGAAAAAATTATAAGTAATTAAGGAAATTGTTAAACATAGGAAAATTTTTGAAATCGAGTATTTCTTTTAAAAAAATCTATTATATTTAATAGACTCTATTAAACTTGTAATATAGATAATAAAAACAAAAAATAATATTATTTATAAATATTTTGTAATAATAATTAAAATGAAATTTTTATTAATATAATTTATCAAAATAATTAAAATATATAAATAAAATAATAAATCCGAATAAATAACATAAATATAAAATATATATAAAATTATTAATATTTAATTATTATTTTATTTTTTAAATAATCTATTTATTAACAAAAAAAAAGATTTTTTTCATAATAAATTAAAAAAAATTAAATAAACAAAAAATAAAATAACTAAATATGGGTTTAGACATAAACGAATTCAGACCAGAAAGAGGTAATTTAAAATATATATAACAAGAAAAAATAAAATACAGTTAATTATATTAAAAAAAGGAGGTAATCCTAACAAGGTAAGGGAATCATAAAAAAAAAGAAACGCAAAAATAGAATTAGTAGATGAAGTAATAGCATTAGATAAGGGGTGGGTTAAAAGTATTAAAAATAATAATAAAAACATATAAATATATATATATTTATATATATATATATATATATATATATATATATATATATATATTTTTATATATATATATTTATTTATTTTATTTTTTTTACAATATAATTTTTAATAATATATATAAAAAAGCTTAATTCAATTATGAAGCAGCTCGAAAAGAACTTAATGAAAAGAAGAAACTAATTGGAGAAAGAAAAAAAGCTAATAAAAATGACACTTGCGATGAATTAATGAAAGAAAAAGAAGAGATAGAATAGAAAATCGAATAGTTATAATAAATTAATGTCTAAGCAAAATTAAATCTTGATGAAAAATTAAAAAAAATAGGAAATATAGTTCACGATACTGTTCCAGTTGATAATAACGAAGATAATAATCGTATAGAACGTACATGGGGTGAAAAAAGAATATTGTAAATAGATGAAACGCCTGGAAAAGCTCATCATCATTAAATTTTATATATGCTAGATGGATTTGATTAAAAAAGAGGTATTTCTATTTTAAAAAAGATATATAATTGATTTATAAATATATATTTTATATATATTTATATTTATATATATTTTATATATTTATATTTATATATATTTATATTTATATTTATATTTATATTTATATTTATATTTATATTTTTTTTATAGGTTCTAAAGTTGTAGGACATAGAGGATATTATTTAAAGAATTACGGCGTTATTTTAGTTTAAGCCCTTTTAAATTTCGGTTAATAATTTTTAATGAAAAAAGCATATACTCCTATTTAAACTCCTTTCTTTATGAAAAAATCAATTATGGCTGAAACTTGTTAACTTTCAGATTTTGATGATTAATTATATAAAGTAATTATTTATCTATATTGCTTTTTAAATATTCTATTTTTTTTATTACTTTTGTTATTTAAAAAAAAAAAAAAATGCCATAATTTATTTTTTTTATTTTCGCATTTTTTTGTTTATTATACTTTTAAAGAAAAAAATTAAATAATATAAATAAATATTAAATCTTATATAGTTATAATATATAAATATATATATATATATATTAATATAAAAAGGTAGAATGTGGTAAACCCGAAGAATCCAAAGAAGGAAAAACTGAATAAACCGAAGATTTTTATTTAATTGCCACATCCGAATAACCTATTTCTGCCTATCATGGTGGCGAATACATTGACAACAAAGAACTTCCCATTCGTTATGCTGGACTCTCTTCGTGCTTCAGAAAGGAAGCAGGAGCAGCTGGTAAGGAAACCTGGGGTATTTATCGAGTACATTAATTTGAAAAAATAGAATAATTTGTCCTCTGTAAGCCTGAAGATTCATGGCAAGAACTTGAAAACATGATTAAAATATCCGAAGAATTCATGCAAGCACTTGGACTTCCTTACAGAATCGTAAATATAGTTTCTGGAGCTTTAAATGACGCTGCGGCTAAAAAATATGACTTAGAAGCCTGGTTCCCTGGTTATAGTTAATATAAGGAATTAGTTTCTTGTTCAAACTGCACAGATTTCTAATCTAGAGGTTTAAATGTTACCACAGGAGATGTCAAAGATAAAAAAGCAGAAAAAGTCTTTGTTCATATGCTTAATGGTACTCTATGTGCAGCTTAAAGAACACTTACTTGTATTTTGGAAAATTACTAAGAAAAAGATGGAGTGAGAGTTCCTTAAGTATTATAACCTTTTGTTGGAGTAGATTTTATTCCCTATAGATAAGGTATGCCTAAGAAAAATGAATTTTAATGAAAATTTTAAGTCTTTTTATTTTTTTATGTAATTCTATTTAATAAAAAATTATTAATTGTTTTTTAGGGAATAATTCTAAATAATTAATTTTTTAATTTATATAGATTATATATATTTTTTTATAAATAATATATATTTTATGAAATTTTTATATTTGCTTTAATTAAATTAGAAAAAATGGAAAAGTATATTGATTTAATATATAATAATATATATATATATAAATATATATATAATTATATTTATATATAATTTATTTAAATAAATATAAAAAAGCATAATATCTTTAATATTTTTTATTAGTATTAACTAAAAAAAAGACGACAATATACAAAATATAGTCAATTTAAAGCATTATTTAATATAATTTTATTTAATTTAATTTTTCATATTATAAAGACTAAGAATCTTTTTATTAAGATCTGATTTTTTATAGAAAAGGCTTTATCTATTTTTTTAACAATTATCTTTAAAAGAATTCATATTTAAATTCTGATTTTTATTATGTAAAAATATTAAATGATTTCTTTAAAATTAGGAATATCTTCAATTAATTGATAAAATCGCATTTATTTAAATTAAGTTAACTAAAAATTCAAGAATATTTACAACAAAAAGCTTAAAAGTAACTTAATAATATCAAATTTAATTTTAAAAATAAATACAAGTAAATTTAAAAGTTTCTTAAACATTAATTACAAGCATTTAAATATGATATTATTATATTTTTTATAAATAATCATATCCGAACGATTTTTTAATAAGTAAAAGCAAAACATTATGAATAAAAAATACATTTTTTAATCTTAATTTCTATTCTAAGTTTAATTTTCTTTCCCTATTTTAAGAATTTCTAAAATTGATATATATAAAAGCCTTTTGGAGTAAAGAAAGTATTCGAAGAAGTTAAATTTCCATGAAAAATATTATTCTTAGATAAAAAAAGTGCTTATATTTATGATTTTAAATAATATATGCCATAATTCTTCCTTACTTAAAAATAAAATTATTTTATTCTTTTATATTTATAAATTTAAAGTTTGAGGAATAATGATATTCCTAAAAAATTACTTTATTTTAATTTGAAAATTATAAAAAAAACTTGACTTTCATTAAAATATTATAAATGAATTTTTAATATATTTTAAATCTGATATATTTTAGTGTTTTATTACATTTTTTAAGAAATAAATGCAATTATTAATATATATATTAAAGTTTTTTTATTTTAATATATATATATATATATATTATTTTCTTATATATATCTTTAGATATAGTATCTATTTTGTCATATATAAATGTATATTAAATCATCTAAAAATTTACAAGATATATTTTAATTCACATCTATTTTTATTAAATTTTTAATTAACTTTTTTTTTTTTTTTTTTTGATAAAAACAAAAAATAACTAAGAAAAATTTAATTAATAAATTATATATATAATTAATTAAAGATATATACTATTTTATTAAAAACTAAAAATTAAAAAAATAATAAGTTAAAAATAATAAACTAAAATTATAAAAAAAAAATTAAAATAATGGACAATTAAGTTGAGTAATAATATATAAAAAATAAAATTAAAACATAAATCAACAAATCTAATATAAAAAACTAGAAAAAAATACATCGCAGCAGATATTTTAAGAAAAAGAAAATAAAATGTTGAAAGAATTTAACACAAAGTTCAAACAAAAATCCAAAGATTAAAAGAAAGAAAATAGAGGCCTGAAAATAAGCATCTAACTCCTGAATTTTTAGTTTAAAATTACAAAGCTTAATAATAAGCATACTCTAGATTTAAAAAAAGAGTATAAAATAATAAAACTAATCTTTTTTATTTATTAAAAAAAATAAAGTCATTAAAACTAGCTAGATCAGATGAAGAATTTTAAAAAGATAGACTTTTATTAGTATTAAGAATCAGAGGGTAACTATTATTATTTATATATAGAATACTAAAAAGAGAAAAAAAAAAAAAAAAAAAGTAGTTAAAGATATTTCTGAATAATAAAAGAAAATCTTAAAACAATTTAAACTTCCAGAAATAAACAGTGCGACATTTTTAAAAGTCGATATTAAAACTTTAAAAAGATTGAAAAGAGTTGAAAATTATATTACTTATGGGTAATAATATACTTATTATATTAAATTCATATTTTATTTCATTTTTTTAATAAAATAAAAACTAGTTATCCTTCAAGAAAAGTTATTTCTGAATTAATATATAAAAAATGCTACGCAAAAATTAAAGGATAAAGAGAACATATTGATAATAATAAAAAAGTAGAAGATAATTTAGGAGATAAAGGAATAATTTGTTTAGAAGATTTAGTAAATGAGATTGTTGATATAGGTCCTAACTTTAAGGAAGTTATGAAATTCATATGGTAATATATTTTTAATAATTAACAAAAAAAAAAAAAAAGCTTATTTACATATTTTTATATAAGGACTTTTAAATTAACTAATAAATAAGATGGATGGGATTAAAAGAAAATTATTAAACCTTTTGATAAAGGAGGAGAATGGGGAAATAGAGAAGATAAAATTAATAATTTAGTGTTTTCAATGATATGATATAATAAATATAGAAATAATTTTTTTAAAAAAAAAATATAAAATATTTATTTATTTATAAATTCATTTATTTTTAATATTAATAGAAATTTAAACTTAAAATTAATTTTTTTTTTTTTTTTTTATTAATTTTTTAAAAAAATATATATATATAAATATATATATATATATAGATATATATATATTTTTATATAATATTAAGAAAGTAAAAAATAATAATAAAATTAAAAAAATAATCAATTATTAATTTATTAATATTAATCTTATGTAAAGTAATTTTCTTCAAAAGAACTTGCCGAATTTCTTATTAATGAATCACTATAGCTATTAATTTTTTTGTTTATTTTTTTTAAAGTGGATCTTTCAAACTCTTCTTTTTTATTATTTTCTTCACAATCGAAAATTATTCTTGCACAAGAATATTTATTTGCATACATCCAATTTACTATAATTTTCATTAAATAACATGAATTCTTAAGTCCGTTTATTTCAGGTCCAACTACTTTTAGATCTCCCAAATTTATCAAATCTTTATTATAATAATTAGGCAATATTTCAGTTATAAATGTATTTGATATTTATGCTATATTTTTAGCTGTATTTATTGAACAAAAGTCTTTTGAACTATTATTATTTATTTTATCTTCACATATAATTTATCCGTACTCATTTAAACATTTTATAAGTAAAATTACAAATACAGCAGTTTCTATCAATTATTAAGGATTCAAAATAATACTTACTTATATCATAAAAGTTGCTAGAACTTAATAAATATTTTATTATTTTTATTCTGAGTAAAATTAATCTTCACGAGTAATTTATTAATCGAATTCCGACGATATATTTAATATTATATAATGTTAGAAAGTCTAAAATAGTTTATTATATTCATCATTTAGAACAAAGTAGTGCTTTATATAATTATCATCTATAATATATTAATAGTTATTATTATTATTGCATTCAATTTTCTTTTATTTTATATTTAATAAAAATTTTTAATATTTTATTACTTCATTAGTATTTCTTTAAAAAAATGCTTAAATATCATTTAAAATGCTTTAAACATTTTCAGTGTTTTGATTTTACTATTTTAATAACAAATATATAATTAACAATTAATAAATATGTATATAATTTAAATTTATAATTTTTTGTTACATATTTCAATAGGTTTTTCTTTTTCTAGATTACATTACTTTATTTATGTTTAGTTTTATAATGAGTATATAACGCGGAATAGCTTAAATACTTTTTTCCACATTCACAAACATAATTTCTATTTGCTTAGTCGTCAGAGCGAATTCTTTATTTTCTTTAAATTTAATTATTTTTTAACTTTTTATTAATATTATTTTATTCCATAGTACTTAATTAACTTTCCATTATTTATATTCAAATTACTCTTTTATTTATTTTAAATAATTTTATTTTTTACAATTTATAAAATAAAATTATATTTAAAACAAGATATTTTAATACTATAAATTATAGTTAAATAATTTTTTTTTAATTCAATTATAATTATTTTTTCTGAATTTTTTTAAATATTAAAGTTGGTACTTTTTTTTTTTATTATTATTATATATGTTCTATAAATAATATACAAATTATTATTAAATAGTTAATGTAAAAAATTTAATTACGATTTAGACTAGAAAATAATTTAAAATAATAAATTATATATTATACAAATTATAAAAAGATATGAATTTTTTTTTCTAATCAAAATTAGAATTTAATTAAAAAGAAATAAAGATAATAAATATAAATAAAAAAATAAATTTTAAGTATATTTATACCAATTTTTAAAATATCATCTTTTACTTCTTATAATAATGTTTATATAAATATTCTTAATATTAGAATTAGACCCATTAGTTTAATTAATTTAATTACTATAACTATTTTAAATAGATTAATTATTTAAATTGTTTAATTTTTATTTATTGTAATTAGTTTAAATTGATTTATATTTAGTTAGTTTAATTAGTTTATTTAGTTTAATTAGTTTATTTAATTAAATTAGTTTAATTTATTTATTAGTTTAAATAGCATTATATAAATTAAAAACATATTTTTAAACTAAGATTTTATCTATTATTTCTCCATTTCGAATAGCTTTATTAAAAACTCTATTTTCGCATTAAACAAAATATTCATTTTTATAATTTAATAATTTATTATTAATTTAATGATTTTAATTTGTAAAATAATGTTTTTTTATTAGTTGAATGCTTGTACAAATAATTATATTAAAAATCTTCATTTTCTAATTAATTATTAATTCTTTTTTTTTTTTAACTGAAATAATTTTATTCTTTACTTTTAATATAATTACTAAACCTTTGTTTTTATATTTTTAACTTATTTTATATATTAAGAGTTTTCTTTGCCTTTGATTTATATTCTAACTTTTAAATGAGGAACAGGGTTTTAATTTAATATAAATAACGCATTATCATTTTTATTAAATTATATATATTTAATCATCTTCTCCATATTTTTGCTTTATAAAATTTTGACTTAAATTAATTCTAAAAGTTTTTTAATTTTCAATTATTATTATTATTATTAGTTCTTGTGGCTTTTTTAAACGAAAACAGGAAGTATTATAATTTTATTGTTTTTCTATTAAATACATATTTTTTTTGTTATTTTGTGTTTTAATGATCTTTGTATTTTATTTTTTTGAAATTCAAAAAAATTTTTTTTTTGAAATTAAAGTTAATAAAAAAATAATGTATTTATTATTGTTGTTTTTCTTTTTTAAGCTTCCTATTTTTTTATTTTTAAAAATTAATTATTTATTTATTTTACTTTGAAGAATTATATTTATTTATCCTTTAAATTAAATTTATTAATAATATATATATATATTTTTAAAATTTTATCCAATGAACATTATAATATATACTTTTAAAATATGAGTTCTTGATTTTTTTTTATTTCTATTATATTTTTCGCTTGAAAAAATTCTTTAAATTAAATATTGAATTAATCATTTGGCTTTTTTTCCTTTTTATTTTCTATCGTTTTAATTTCAAAAAATGGTATTTTTTTTGTTTATTTAATACATGAAATTATTAAATTTAAAAATAAAAATATATATATTTTTGTATATGGAAAAAATAAATATGAATAATAAACCTAATAATTATTTTTAAAATATATTAAAAATACTTTTAGTTTATTTATTTATTTTAAAAAAAAAAAAATCATTAAATATTTTTTAATTTTTATAGATTTGTTTTAAACTATTTAAAATAAACAAAAAATGTAATACTTTTTATTAAATATTAATAGTTATTTTTAACTAATATTAAATAAAAACCTAATTAAAATATATCAATTATGTATATAAATCATTAAAGTGCAGTAAATATTCTTTTCAGACTATTTTTAATTTAAAAAACTTCTTAAGAAAGAATTTAATATTCATTATTTAATAATTTAAGTGAATTCGTAATTTTAATAAAGTTATTTTCTAAATTCGAAAACTCTTTTATTTTATTATTTTATTCAAGTTATATTTGTTAATACTAAGTATCAAATAAATTTATTTTTTATAATAGTTCTTCTTTAAAACAATACTATTAACAAGACTCGTTTTATTACAAATGTTCTAGTTTATTTAAAATTTATTCATATTTATTATTTACACAACTATATTAATTATTTATTTTTTCTTCCTATTTATCTTATTTAATTTAACTATTTAATATTAATTACTCTAAAAAGCTAAATCTTTATTCTAATTTATCTATCCTATTTAAGACTTGCTTTATTTATAAATCTTCTTCTTTTTAATTTATTTTATTTAGAATATTTAAAAGTACTAAATCTTCTTTTTTATTTATATTATTATTTTCATTATTTATTTTTAATTATTTTTCTATAATTTCAAATCTTTTGTTAATTGCCTAAAAAAACTTATTTATAAATATATTTGTTGGTTTTTAAGTTTGCTTTTAAACATTTTATTTTTTAATATTAATATTAGTGTTTGTAAGATTTATTTAATTTTTTAAATTTCCTCCGAATTCAGCTGATTATTTCGCACTTTCCATATTATTATTTGCATTTTTCAATATTTAAATTGGAGATATTTATTCTTAGGTAAATGGTTTACATGTTCTTTTTTTTGTTTTATATATAAAATAAAATTATTAATAAAATTTTACAAAGAAAATTTCAATTCAGATTTATTTTATTCGAAAATTTCAAATAATTAAGAAAGCGGTTTTTTTGTACTTGAAAAATTATTTTATGTTTCATTTTAAGGTTATATTTTGGAAACTGAAAACGAAGTATCTAATTTTTCATTTTAGATATTTGATTCTTTTTTAAATACTTTAAAGCCATCTATTTTTTATATATATTTATTTTATTTTAATTTTTAGTTTACTTTTTTTATTTTATGTATTTAGTTTTTATGAATTTAATGATGTAGAACTTCCGAAATTTGTAGTTTAAGAAAATAAAGATGAAAATTCGTTGTTTTTATTTTACATTTTTTTAAATTATTTATTTTGAAAATATTATAAAAAATTATATTTATTATTTTTTAGTTTGGGAAAAAAAAAAAAAAAAAATTAAAAATTAAATTTTAACATTAAAATTTATAAATTCAAAAAAAATATTAATATAGAAAAAAAAAAAAATTTTTGAAAATAAAAGGAGATAATAGATATAGAAGAAACAAAAAAATTATCGAATTCTTTTTTTTTTTTTAATAAATAAAATATAATTAATTATTCTAATTTAATTTAGCAATAAAAAAAATATCTAAATTAACAAAAATAATTTTTATTATAATCAAAAATTTTATAATTTTATTTTTATAAAAAATAAAAATTAAAAAATATAATAATTAAAACCATATTTACAAAAAATAATAAAAAAATCGATATTATATATATAATTATAGGTTTATTAAACAAAAAATAAAAATTAATAAAAATTCTTCATTCTTAATGATTTTCTTTTACAATTTCATTTTTGTATTGATTTTCATTTTCATACCATTTTATTCGCTTTCCTTCTTCCCAAAGTCCCATCTTAACTGATTAATCAGGAAGAATATATTTTCCTTTTCCATGCTGTCTTTAAAAAACAAAAAAAACTATATAAAATATATATAAACATAAAATAATACTTTCCATATCCCCAATTTCCTTAATATTTTCTTCCATCAGACCAAATATAAACTCCGAATCCATGTTTTTTATCATATTAATAATCCCCTATATATTTTCTTCCATCTTTCCAAGTGAAAACACCTTTTCCATGCATATTATTATTTAGCCATTCTCCCTTTTTTGTTAAAGATAAACTCATGTATTTTTTTTTTAACAAAAAATAAAAAAAAACCTCATAAACTCTTCCATCAGGCCATTTATAAATTCCTTAGCCTTAAATTCTAATTATAACAAATAATTAATAATAAATAAAACAAAATAAAACAAAAAACCTAGTATCAACCCATTCACCAGTATAAGTTGACCCATCGCTCCAAGTATAAGTACCTTATCCATGTTTTTTCCCTTATTTGAAAAATCCATCATATTTAGATCCATCAGGCCAAGTTTCGACCCCATAACCATCTTACATATCATTTTTCCATTATCCTTTTATAATAATAAAGCAATTAACTAATAATAATAAAAAAAACCCTCATATTTAGAACCACCATTAGATATATATGTTCCGTATCCATTAGCCTTATCTTCTTGCCATTAACCTATATATTTATCCCCATCTGCATGAACAAACTCTCCATTTCCGTGTGCTTAATTATTTTACCATTCACCTTAATATATGGCCCCATCAGGCCATTTTTACGTACCTATACCATATTTAGTATTACCTAAATTTTTAAATAGTAACAAACATATTCAATAACAAAAAAAATACCTTTCCATTATCCTTCATAAATAGCACCACTTTTAAAACAAAAGGGAGGCCTAGTTTCTAAAGCTAAATCATCATTTGATTAATTTTTAAGTTGATTTTCTATATCTTCATTAGAGAATTTTTTTAATTAAGAATAAACTTCTTATTTAGTATTATAATAATGCTCTTAATTTTCAACTAATTAATTCTTTTAACTAATAGAGTTTACACTATTAGATTTCTATTTATTATTTTATTTTAAAGATGAAATATCTAATGATTAATGGTCATTATGATAAGCTTATTCGAATATTGAATTAGGTTCTTCTTTATAAATAGGATCTTTTATTTAAAATTAAAGCGGATTTTTTAATTCTTAGTGCACAAAAGAAATATTATTATAAATTATTGAAGGCATTTCTTATCCTGCATTTGTTTAGTTTTCTATTTTTTAATATTTTGTAGATTTTATTTCTTCTTGTTTATTTCCTATTTCTTATTTGCATGTAGAACAATCTTAACCCATTAAAAAACTAATATTAATATTTTTATATATATATATTAAAAAAAAAAAACTAATTTTTTTTATAATTGTAACTAAATTATTTAATTATATAAATAAAAAAATACATATATCAAAAATATGAATTCTTTACACACTGTTATTAATTATACGTAATTTGAGGAACATTATCAAAAAATAAAATAAAATAATAAATTTGTTCTTTATTTTACTGGTACTACAGATGAAACTACAGGTAGAAATTGGTGTTCAGATTGTGAAGCAGCTTATCCTTTTATTAAATCTCATGTTATTCCTAAATGTCAAGAATTAGCTATTCCTTTATTAGAAGTAAAGAATGGATTAAGAGATGAGTAATTTTTTTAATAACTTTGTTATATAAATATATATAAATAAATATATATATATATATATATATATATATATATATATATATATATATATATATATATATGCTTTTTTATTTAAAAAGATGGAAAAATCCTAATCATCCTTTAAGACATCATAAAGATTTTAAATTATAAGGAATCCCAGTATTATTATTGAATACAAACGTATAAAAAAAAAAATATTTAAAAATGTGAAAATTAAATAATATTAAAGGGTAATTTCGAAAAAAGTTTATTGGAATAACAAATAACAAATAAGCAATTATTATTAGATTTTTTCGAAGATCTTTGAAAATACAAAATAAAAATAAAATAAAAATTAAAAGATATAAAATAATAAAATAAAAAAAAATAAAAAAAAAATAAAAATAAAAATAAAAATAAAAAAAATAAAAATAAAAAATAAAAAAATATTTTATCATTTAACTGCTTATAAAATGTCTCCCGAAGCAAAAGCTTATTTAAGATTATTGTCTTTAGTAATGATATCCATAGGTATCATATGCAACATTCCTTTAGTTCTCCAAATTTTCTAACTCAGCATATTTTAATAAGGAATCCATAAAACAATAAATACAAAATTCAAAAAGAATATAAAAACTCCCAATTTTATAGACATAATTTATTACTAATTATTAATAAACTATTTTATGCAATCAATAAATAGTTAATTTGAATATTCAATACTTGGTACAATATATTTTTATATATTTTCTAGTGTTAAATATTCTTATCCAGAAAGGGTTTACTATAAATTATTTCTACTTCCACCCCAAAACTATGTTAATAATTTCCTTGTGTCTTCCGCATAAGAAACAATAGCGATTCTGAGTCCCTTTTCGATAATTTTATCATCAATAGAGGCGCATTCTTTTTCATTTAAAGGACTATCCCAAGTAAAATTTTCACATAAATTATCATAATTAATAATACGAAAATTATCTTTATATTTATCGAATTCTGAAGGATAAGATTCCTTATAAGAATTAAATATATCGTTTTCATTTTAGTAGATTTTCTATGTAAACTATTCTTTTAAATCTTATTTATTATCGTCTTATTGTATTAAATTTGTACTAATTTGTTCGAATGTATATAAAAGATTGTATTTCAATATCGGATTCCTCTTTGATATATAGTTTAAATGCTGAAAAATGGTACTTATATCATTCAAAAAAATAATTTCTAAAACAAATGAAATTATAAAATATGACAAAAACAAAACTACTACAAAAAAGAATTAAAAAATAACCTTTTTTTATTTAATTTTTATTAAAAATTTTAGTCATATTACCTTTTTTTTATTATTATCTTTTGAATTTATTAATTTTTCGCTTCTTAATTTGTTTATCTCTTCTTCTTCTAGCCTTTTTTTCTTTAATTCTTCATTTTTCTAATTATTATTTTTATCTTCCTCTTTTCCTATTTCATTATTAATTTCTATATTTTATTATTCTTTTTATTATTCCTAAAAATTCTCTTCATCTAAAAATTACTAACTATATTTTTCACATTTCTAAACCAAATCTTTTATTTCTTATATATTTATCATACCAAATAATGAAAGTACCCTAGTATTAGTTCTTAGAACCTAAAAAACAATCGGAATCAATATAAACTAAGAAATAATAAACAAGGAAGTCCCCAAAATCATAATTGTAAGAAAATTGGTCCTATATTTCATTATTTAATTAATATAATAATCATAAAGTTCCTATGCTATATCCTCAGACCCTTATCTAAGGATAAAAAGTCCATTTCTTGTTACAAAATAAAAGTTTTTTGGTGAAGTAGTATAAAAAATTTAACTACAAATATTTTTTTTTTTAAATATACATATCTATATATTATTTAATCATATTATTTTTTTCTGTATTTTTTTTTCTTCTAAAAATATATGAAAAAACAAGTCTATTAAACTAAGAATTTTAAAATTTATTTTCTTGTATAATAAAGTAATTACAAGTAATAATTTTTAAACTATAAAATGATTAGTTAATAGTCTTATTTTGTTCAAAAAAAAAAAAAAAAAAACTTACAGTTAAAAAATAAAAAAAAGCAATATACATAAATAATATATAATTTACTTAGTTATTAATAAGTTATCATATTCTGAATATACTAATTATGAAGCTGATGTTATATATTATATAATTGAATTTGTAAAACAATTTTAATATGGCTTTATATCACCATTTTATAACAAAAAATATATGCTATATTATATTTCTTCAAGATGTTTAATAAACGATTTTTCTAAATAAATTCGACCTTTAATAATTTCGAATTATATATGTTATAATTCAAATACTTTTTTTTATAATTTTTCTTATTATTATTAAAATAATTAATCAGATATTATATCTTAATTACTATAATATAGGCTATTTTTATAAAATAAATTTAAAAAAAATAATAATAATATTTTACTTAGAAATAGACCAAAGTTTTCTAGTTATATAATTTACATCAGCCATAATATTATGTCTTTAATATCCATAAAAAATACTATCTATCCCATTTCTAGTTTTATCAAATTATTAAATTTTAAACCAAATTTCAATTCCACATAATGCAAAAACAAACAAAATTACCAAAATAACAGTTGACTGTAATATTTTTATGCTTTTAGGTATATTTCTTTCACTAATAAGTGATTTAAAATCTTTTAATTGCCTAAATTCATCATTTAAAGTTGTATTAGATACATTACTTTCCCTATCTTCTCCAATAAAATTATCATTTTCAGGAGAAAAGTTCACTTTTTGATTCTCCATAATACTATTAACATCCTTTTTATCAATTTAAGATTAAAGATTATTTCTAATTTATATATCATTGATATCTTATGCATACTAAGCTTTGCTTTTTACATCATCCATAAGTGTATTTTGTTCAACTTCTACGAATTTTATCACATTAACTTTCCGATCTTCAAAAATTTGTTATTCAATAAGATAAACGCGAACTTTTTATCTTTTAAATTTGCTATTTTATTATTATTATTATGAATGAATTTAATTATTTTCTGAAGAAATATGCATTGTTAAGTCTTACGAATCTTCTTATTCTAATAAGAATTTTTTTTAAATTTATGTAGTGTCTATTGTTGCCAAAACTCCCTACGGATTTTTCATTAATTCGATAATTTCAGGGTTAGTCAATTCCTAGCAAATCACATCTATTGTAAATTCGAGATTTCCGGAAGTATTTCCATACATTAAAGCCGCAGGAATCCCAAAAGAGTTAAAAACAGAAATAGAAATACCCTAAATAGCATCATTATCAGTTCTATATATCATATAATGTACTTTTTCTTCACTCAATTATATATTATTATTGTTTGTATTATTTTCAACATCTTTGATAAATCCTACAATAGTAATTCCTTCATCTAAATTGGGTAATATTTTTATCATTAGAGTACATGGAACTAAATATTAATTTTTATGCTGACATAATACAAGTCTTTCTATTCCTATTACTTTCGGTTCTGAGGTTTCTGAGTATCTCCTCATTAATTAATTATGTATTTCCCCATATACTTTAGGCATTATCTTATAAATATTTTAATCTATAATATCACTTTTTGACCATCCTAATATTCTAAATTTAATATGTATAATATTTATTTATTTTTTAAAGAAAAATAAAAAAGAATAAACCTTGTTAATTCATTATTAACATTAGTAACTATACCAATTTAATTATAATTACTAGAACAAGTAATAATGGATGTACTTGAGTTTTCTCCGTATTTTAATTTATCAGAATCAACGAATTATTTATTAATATTCTAAGAGTTCTTTGCATAATTGACATTATCAAGGATTTTATCTCCTTCCTAATTATCATTAACAATATTTTTTAAAAAATTTCCATAAATTTCCAAACATTTTATATGTTATGAATAAATTTCTTTTAATTTCTAAAATTTTTCATTTACCTATTCTACTGTCTAAGTTATTTATTATCCCGTTTATTAAATCTTTTGGATTTCAGGATTTTCTTCTAATAATTCTCTCCAGAAATCCAAATGAAGTTATACACTTCTAGCAATCAAATGTTAAAAATTAATAAATTCCTTTTAAAAAAGCACAATTTTATTCACATCTACGCTTTTACCTTCTCCTCCTTTTTGGTCATTTTCAATAATTTCTTCTTCAATTAAATAACAAAATCTAAAAACCTAAAATTCTTATTAAATATTCGGTTTTAATTCTTATATAATAATCATAAGCTCTATAAGTGCTTTGAATTTATTTTTTAACTTCTCGTTTTGTATATAAGAATGTAGGAGATGCAACCGACTTGATTTATTAAACTTTTCAAGCATATCTTCAATTATATTTTTCAAAAATATATACCATTTCTTTTATAAAATCTACACTTCTTCCTCCTTAGTATCATCCATTAAAAATTAATGACAAAAGCAGCCTTCTTTGAAACATTATCGACTATGAAACTTCAAAATTCCTTCCAAAATAATCCTTGTTTACGGATTTTCACGATTTTCAATCATTTCAATTAATATATTTATATACATTTCTACCTCTTGGTCTGTTTTGAAACTTTTTATACTTTTTCTCATCATATATAAATTCCTATAATTTATTAATGAATTATAAAAACTCCAAATAAACGGTATTCCAATAACCAAATACAATAATCCTATATTATCGACTTATCCCTCATCTATATATAATGTTATTAATACACATAAAGATATCCAAAACATTAAAGATTCACAAAAAATACTAAAATTTTATACTTTCTATTTATTTATTTTTATTAAAAAAAAAAAATCATATTTTTAATTACTTTATTATATATAGAAGGGTATTTAAATCTCATAAATAATATGCCTATATAACTAATAATATTAAATAAAACAAATAACTCTATACGTTTGCCTTCATAATCAATCTATGTATATAGAGGTAGAAATATTTTCAAAGCTTTAAAATTTATTAAATATATTTATTTTTTTAAAAAAATAAAAATAATAATAATTTACTTAATTTTAATAATGGCAATTATGTTTAAGGCTATGCAAAAGGGATCATACTAGCAGGGTTAAAATCAATATAAAGAATAGTATAAAATAAGCATAGAAAAAGAAAAAAAATTAATCCAAAACATCCTAATAATAAATATAAATAATAAATACCACTATAACATTCTAATTCAGAATGAATTGATTAACTTTAATTACAAACAATAATACAAAGAAAAATATTAATAATAGGCAAAGATATAATCGTATTAGTAATTAAGCCAAAAGAAGCTAATATTTTTATCCCATAACTAAGAAATGTAGAGCTTTTTTTTCATTATTTTTTATTTTTATGATAACTATAATAAATAAAACAATAACTAAAAGAACTATCGTAAAACATATACATAAAATAATTATAAAAGCGTTAGATTTTAATTAACTTAATAGATAGTTAAACTAAAAATATTATATCATTGATCTAAAATAATAAAAAAAGGAATTATTCCATAAAAAGTAATCCATTAATGGATGAATAATATAAAATACAAATTAAAAAGTTTCAAATAAAAGCAATAAATTGTATAAAAAAGGACTACATATTTGACTTTATAAAAGTTCATGCATAATTAAATATATCCATAATTTTATATTTTACAAGGTTTTTTAAAAAAACGAAATTTCCTCTTCGTCTTAATTATATTTTTTTTTTTTAAATATATTCATTTTTTTACGTAGAAAAAAAATTGATATAATATATTTTAAAAAAAATTAAAAAAATAATATAATATAAATATTTTAATTTTTATAAAAAAAACATTTTATTATTTTAATATATAAAAATAAAATTCAAATAATTTTTTTCTAATTATAATTTTGTTTATAATACTCTTTACTTTTTTAAAACCTTAAAGAATTCATTTGACTAATATGTGTTTCCTAATTAATTGAAGAATTCGATTAAAAGCTTTAAGGCGATTAAAATTTCTCTCCTAAAACCATTTCTTATAATTACTTATCTCCACTTTTTAATGGACTTTCTGAATCTTCCTTATCTTTTTTTAAATAAAGAGCAGGATTTATCGAAAAACTTTATCTATTGTATTATTATTTGCTTTTTAAACAACTTGATTAACTTAAATTATTCACTTTATTTTATATTTATTCATTTTAAGGCAGAAAGAAAACATTAAAAGGGTTCTTTTATAATTTTAGAGGTTGATTTATGGATATTTACTTAATAGTTTCATTCGAATTGATTAATTTTTTATCGTTTTTTTTTTAAAAGACATTTATGTGATTTTTTTAAGAATATTTATCATTTTATTATATTTTACTCTAATTCGAATCTTAATTTTTTTAAAATATATTAAAGATTTTTTATAATAAAGATGTTTAAGAAGCTTCATTTGGCTTTTTGGACGAATTATATTCATAAAGGGAAATTAAAGTGTTTATTTTAGGCTTTAAATACTCATCAAAATGTTCGGTTTTTATTTATTTATCACTATTGTTTGAGTTTTCACATGATTCTTGGTAATTAATTTAAATTAAAGAATTATTAAAAGATTTTTCTTATTTTTTTTCCGTTTAATAATTATTATTTTAATTTACACATTTCAAATTTCGTACATAGTAGTTATTTTTCTCAAAGCTTTTTTTTATTTTTGTTATATATATTTTTTTTTTATTTTTAAGAAAATATTTGTTTTATTTTTTACTTTTTTTATACTTTTAATATATAAGTTTTTCTTAACGAATTACGTATTTTTTGCTGTTTTCTTTCTTTTTTATTGTTAGATTTTTATTAGGATTTTATGGATTTTATAAATATATTTATTCGAGTTCTTCCATTAGTTAGTTTGTTACTTTAAATGTTTACGCTACTTAAAATAATTAATTTTGGTACTTAGTATTATATATAAATATTGATTTTATTTATTATTTTAGAAATAAACTTATATCATCTTCATCTATTTCTAGTAAGTGTTCTTTTTTTTTTATATATATATATATATATATTATTATAGAAAAAATATCATTTTTTATTACTTTTTATTAACTATATTATCCCAATTGCTATTTTAATTAAATATTTATAACCTTTAAAAAGGAAAAGCATCCATACTAAATAAAATAAAAAAACTTTTAAAGAAAAATAAAAATAAAAAAACCTTTTAAAACTACTTATATATTTAAATCATACGAAAATAAAGTCAAAAACCATTAAGTAGAAAAATAATTTATTTAAAAATCTTTTTTAGTTAAAAATAAATATATATCTGGTAAGTAACTTTTAACAAATAGTTCAAGTTAATAATCTAATATTTTCGTACCTTTAAAGTTACTCTTAAATAAATTACCTAATTTCATTTTCTTCATCATATAATTTAAAATCCAATAGGTTTATTCGTTCTAAAATCCATTTTAAATAAAAACTCCTGCAATAATATTCCATCCCTAAATATAACCAATATCACTAATGGAATGAGATAATGCAATTAAAATACTTCCCAAATTGTTTATTGTATAAGTGTTTTAAAAATATTCATTTTATTGAAATGTTCTATTTATATCTTTTTTTATGTCTTGATAATATTAAGATTATTTTATACTATTTTTCTTTTTTTATTAAAAAAATAAATAAATTCTTCTTTTAGTTTTTTTACATAATACTAATGATAATATATCCTTTATAATAATGTAAAGTTTATTTAATTATCAAAAAAATCTACAAAATATTAATAAGGTCTATGTACAATTTAGTCAATTACATATTATTCTAGTTTTTTTTTTACATATGGGTTTGTACTTAAATTCTAAACTTTTTTTCTGAATGCTTTTGCTAAAATTAATAAATCTGATAGGGTTAAATAAGGAAATATCTTTACAAATATCTAATTAAATTTGAATATAACTAATTACTTGTATTAAAATAAATTTTGTTATTGTTTCTTGCGGGATGTAAATGATGCATGTACTTTTCTATATAAAGGTAATTAATTATAAGTTCCTTCTTATATTAGCGAATCCCTTAATTCTCCATCCTACTCATTAAATATTATTAATTCTTCATCTTAATAAGTATTTAAATTAATTGGGTAAGTTTTATTTTGCATATATTTTAATTTAGTAAGAAAATTATTATTTTTGTTTTTTTTTAAAAAAAAAAAACTAGTACTAATTATTTCTTGTTTAAATTTTGATTATAATTTATATATTTTATTTTATTATTTTAAAAAAGTTAAAAATATATACTTATTTTTATCAAGTTTATTTAATTTTTTTAATAAACTTAACTCAACCAACATACATATATTAAAAATTATTATTTAAAAAAAATATAATTCTTTTTATTTTTTTTTAAAGATATTTTTAAAAAAATGATTATAAATGTTATCTAATGATATATATTTATAAATTTTTAATGATATTAATAATTTATTTTATCATTAATATATTATTAATATATAAGCAATTAAAGATTAATAATAATAAAAATTAAATATAACTTTTATGTTGTTAAATAAAACATATCTTATCATTAATATCTTTATATTAGAAAAAATAAAAAAAAATATATAAATAATAAAGCTAAATAATATTTATTAAAAATATTTTTTTTTTTTAAGACTAAAAATTTTGTTATTAGGCTTGATTAAAAATAATAGAACATATAAAAAGTAGATAGATATATATAAAAGTTTATAAAAATTCGGAAAAAATGGTATAATAAACACTGGAATCATTTAATTATGAATATATTAATTTTTATTTATGAACTATTTATTTTTTCTCATTATATTAATAGATTAAGAAATCGAATTTTATTTAAATTATATTCTAAAATAATTTAATAGACAATTAAAAATAAATTAATTATAATAAATAATTTTTAGATAAATAAAAAAAAAATTATTATTAAATAAAAAAAAAATTAAAATAAATAAAAAATTTAAAAATATAATATATAATATTTTATTTATAAAATAAATATTTTTTTATTTATATCATAAATATAAGTAATATTTTATTCAAATATTGCATATTAAATATAACTATTTCATTTCCAAAAAAATATTAAATGTAATGATTCGAAATTTTCGAATTTCAATTCGAAAATAAAACAATTAATATTTGATTTTTTTTTGTTAAATTGCCTTATAATTTATATTCAAATCAATAAAAAAAAATATTTCAAAAATTATATAATTAAATTTAAAAATATACCAAAAAATAAAATTAATTCTATCCTTACTAATCACCTTAACATTAGTAACTAATTTTTATAAATTTAACCCATCACGACTGTTATTACTAGTTTTTCTATTCTAAGCAAAGCATGGCTATATGTATTGTTCACCCGAAAAAAGATTATATAGATTCAAAGTATTCAGTGATAGCTTATATTTAATAGACGAAAACTAAAAAAACCAATGGAAAAAATGGAACTAAAGATTTCTGGAAAGTTAAAAGTTATTGGTCTAAGTTTTGTGGAAAAAAAGGGTATTTCAGATTGGTTAAAGGAAAGGGTAAATTTTTTATTAATAATTATGTTTTATATCCTAAAGTTTAATAATTATTTATATATATATATAGTGTTTAATTTTAATTTATTTTAAGTTTTTATTATTATTATTTATAATATTTTATAATTATTATATGTTTAGTTTAATAATATTTTTAAATAATAATAATTATTTAAAATTAAGAAAATATTATTGTATTTATTTATAAAATATCTAAAGTGATCAGAACAGGATAACACAAATAATTAAATTGAATACGATAATTAGGCTCATATTATATAAAAAATAATAACAAAATATAAGAAAAATGTATAAGTTATATAATTTTCAAAAATATTAAAAAGATGAAAATAAATAGAATATAAATTTTTATTTTTTAAAAAATAATAAATAAATACAATTCTAAAACAGTTTTCACTAAACGTGGAAAATATTCAGTAATTACCAATATCAACTAAGTTTATTTATTAAAGAAAAAACAAATAATAATAACTTAGCAAAAAAAAAAATTATAGCAAAAGAAAATAATATAAGACACAAAACACTGTTCTCAAGAGTAATTCTCTTCACTATTAATTTACATAGAAAAAAAAAATAGATAGGTTATGATTAAACGTAGAAAAAACCGCAATTTTTTTTCAAAATAAATAATAAACATATTTTGAGTTGATAAAATAAATATAAACAATATTAAAATATAAATGTAAAATAAAGAATTAAATGTTTATAAATAAATAATAACTAAAAAATTTAAATAAATAAAATAAAAAATGTATATGTACATGTGTATGTATATGTATATGTATATGTGTATGTATATGTATATGTGTATGTATATGTATATGTATATATATATCTATATTATATATTTTATTTATTTTAAATTATATTATAAATTTCTTTATTATTTATTTCTATTATATTAATTTTTAAATTATATATATATAATTTTATTTTATAAATTATTAAATATAAGATTATTTATTTATTTATTTTTTAAATATTAATTATTAAATATTTCAAAATATTTTTTATATTATTTTATATTTTATATTTTTTATATTTAATAATATTTAAATTATCAATTTAGATATTATGAATCTTTTTATAATTCATTTTAATATTTAATAATTTTTAAATTATATTTATATTTACTTGTTTGTAATTATTTAATTTTTGT